TATCCGCCTTGCATTCGCTGTTACTTCCCTTAGCTTTGCTACCAGAACTCTGTGAAGCGTAGCAATGTAAATAACAGAACTTAAGTGGCAGGATGTAAAGCACCGTAAAACATTAAACAATGACTTTGAAATTGTTGCAGGATCTCTGTTCCGTTCTCGATGCACTTACACAAATGTTTTAATTTTTATGGCATTTTAAGTTGTCAGCTGCGATTTTTATTGGATCTAAGTTTTTCATATATATATATATTTTCGTTATATATTTTCAAAGATGTATATTTAACATTTTGTAAGATTTTATTTTATAATAGTCATAATATTTTTTTCTTAATTTAATTTTCTTAGTTTAATTCTATAATAAATATTTATTAGTCAATGTAGGTTTTCAAATATTTTATTTAAAATAATTGAAATTAATAAAAAAATATTTAGTTGTTATTATTGAACTTAAAATTTAAATACCTTAGAAACCATTTTTATGTATAAAATTTTATAAACTTTGTTATTAAAATATATAACATAAATAGATAATTGAAAACAAAAAAAATATTATTTGCCACAACTATATCTATAGATTTCAGTAGAAATGTTTAATATAATCCGAAAGATATTTCGCTGAATAGGGGGACTAAAGTTCGATTCCATAAACATAACTTAAACCCAAATATTTATTAAATATGTTATATGTTTAAGTCATTAATTTTACTGACTATTAGTTGAATTAGTTACTATTTAAACTTAAGTTACGACTGTGAAATTGACCTTTAAAATAGGAATTAATGGATTAATAAAATAAACGGTTACCTATGGTCCTAATTTGGTATCACTCTTTCAAGAACACATGATAAAAAGAGCTTTCATCTAAGGTATCATAAGTTTGGTTTAATATAAGACATATCACAAAAATTTTAAAGATTTTTTGTATCGAATTTTCTTCAGTGATGTGTCCCACTAAATAATATACAGAGGTAACTGTCAGACAAGCATTATTCAGAAAAACTCCTGTAATTATTTTTTTTTGAAACAACACATAGATGTAGTGCAAACTGCAAATTCAGATCACTATAATAATATAACTGCAAGTTTTTTGGCATAAAATTGAGGATAAATGTAAAAGATATATGATCTCGTTCCGTTTTGATTTTGTTGTGTGAGAAATTTCTCGGATGTGTGATTTTTCATATGAGTTATGTGATTATGTGATCTGTCATCACTAGTATTTTTTTTTGTAGAGTACACAAAGAAATGTGATTATGTGTTCGAATAAACAATCTAAAATTACCTGGAAAGCAATCAGTCGCTCTTCTGGTTACTTTAGAATCACAATATTGACAGCCCTGTATTAAAATATTTTTAATTTATACATATTTTTGTATAATAGATCATTACTTGTCTTTTGTAGGTTAAATTCTTTCTTAATTGCAATCAATTAGTTAGAAAGCCTCATTTATTTAATTTTTCTGGAGAAAGAGTTTGTTGTTTTACAACGAGCTGGAAGCAGTAATAAACACAAGTATATTGCTAATTGTTATGTTGGATGTGCTATAGAGTTATTTATAGAATGTCATGTAATTAAACCTGTAAGCATGAATACTGACTTAACAGATATTTTGGGTTCCCTTTCACGTAAATGATTTACAGAAGCTTTAATATGGTAGACTCACCCTAAATTCATTAGTATTATAGTACTGTATACCATGCAAATGATTATTATTTTAGTTACTTCTATCTTATTTTTGTAAATTAAATCAGTAGTTCTAGATTAGACTATTTTCTGGGTTGTTTTAAGCTCGTTATTCATATTCAACTACTATATTGCAGTTCGCATACATTCTCCAAAAAGTGCAATATCGCAATTAACTATCTAATTGTATTATAGTTAGCAATAATTGCATTTCGTAAATATAAATATTTAAGTTAACAAGGTCGAATTCGTATAATTATTGAATTATTGACTACAATTAAGAAAGTGCTTTCTCATCTTATTACAAAGTGAGTATCATACGACATCAAATTATTTAAAAAAGTAAAATATCAAACAAAAACAGACAACAAGCTTTTGGATGTAATAGATATCAATAAAGACTTTGGTTTAACTTTAAATAATATATCATACAGTTTTTAAAAATTTAATTTCATTAAATTTAATTTTTAATTTTTGTTTTTAGATTTATTATTATTTCACGTTTTTTGTGTCATTCCGTTGTTCAGCTATTATACTACCTCAATGTAAACACTTAAATTTAATTGTGTATTAAACGGTAATTTAAATATGGCAATTATGAAGTGTAAACATGGTAAAAATGTGAACGTTGGTCTATTTTTTATATGGGAAATAATTTCGTTGAATAAATCAAGTGACTTTAATTTTTATAATCACTTTTATTGCTTACTACTACACACATCTATTACTCTTATTTATATAAGTTTATGCTAATTTCAATGCAGCGGTGTAACAATTCTGTTTTGATAATTTAAAACATCACAAATCATAGATATTAATTATGGAAAATTTTATGATATATTTTTATGTCACCTTAACCCATTTTAAGTATCATTTTCAGTGGCGTAATTTATGTATGATTCAGATCAACATTCGGTTCAAATGCTAATGACAGACTTCATTGACATATTCGTTTTATTACAAATTAACATTTAATAACACTAAAAGCTGCCAACTCCCCATTTTGTTACTAATTGAAAAGCACTTTTGTTTCAGTAAAAACAAATGAAAAGCCATCACCAGTTCAAGCAGCTGCTCAAATAAATTTCAAGCACCGCACCCATGTCAAATATGCACCATGAACGCTTTTCAAATTTACCTTTCAAAGCAGTTTTAATTAACACTCAACCACCCTCAACACCGTCGCGCCGTGTAAATGCGGTGGCGACTGCACCAAAAATACATGTGTGCACCAGAAATGATTTGTTCCAGTTTCCCTGGTTGGATTTAACAATTAAACAATAAATGTTTAATTTGCGAAAAAAAAGTTAAATTATGAGAATATTTAACAGAAATTAGCGTGTGAGAAAAAATACGCCACTTAATTGAGTTAAAAAGGTATTTAAAAAATATTTGCTTTGTTGCTACTATTTTTTTAATTTTTACTATTTTTAAGCTACTATTTTTATTTTTTTTTTTTCAAAGCAAGAAAAAAGTTGAAACAAAAATGCAACAATTTAATAAATTTTTTATTATTACTATTTGAATTACAGTTTGACATTGAACGGACATAATGAAGGGTTTGCCATTGTTGCCATTGTTATTGTTATTTTTGCTTGATTCATGTCGCAATTCGTTAGGTTGCAAAGTGGATTTGTTGAAGTGTCTTTGGTTTTGACACAGAATTAAAAAATTGGAATAATATGTTAAGTATCTCAAGTCAACAATCCGTTTTTGCTCTCAACATTATATAATTTTTCACAATTGTGTTGTGGAGTAGTTTTTTTTTTTGCATACAAAAGTGAAACAACGCAGAAGAAAAAAAAGTCAGTAAAAATTGTGGGCATCTACTGCAATGTAACAAATTGCAAGCCTAAAGTAAAATGCCTTAAAGAGCACGTCTTTAATTATACGACTACTTGACTTTTTTTAATTTTTTCTTAAAATGATTTTTTATGTCTTTTTTAAATAAATTCAACAAATTTTACATTTATGGGAGTTAACTTTTACAATGCCATACTTATACATTGTATCTGTAATTCATTTATGTTTATATATTATATACATAATAATTCATTTAACTATATAATCATTTATATTATTTATTTTATCTGTAATTTATTGCAGATAATGTAAAACTTTTAAGCCATATATATGGCTTATTAATATATATATTTTTAAGCTTATATTAATAAGACATATTAAAAAATCATATTTGACTTAGCTAAGTTTTAAAATTTGTATTGTAATAAATTCAATAAAAAAAAAAATAAATTTTTGTTGTTTCACTTCTGTTCGAAAACCTCTTTAAATAAAAACTTATGTTTGCTTTAATTTCAATTCATCAATGATAATAAGAATTAAATTAAATCTTACATCTGAACTATTAAATACATATAAATATAAAAATCTTAATAATGCATAGTATAGATCAAAACAATTACACTATGTTTACATTTGACAATTAGTAAACCTGAAATTAGTAAACAACTGAACAATTGAAATTAAGTGTTTACACAGTAGTTATTTAATTAACGAACAGCGAAACAAAAGAGTACACAAAATAAATAGTAAATACCATTAAAAATTAAAATAAAATTAAAATTAAAAATTATATTTAATTGCATTACTTTAATAAAAGTTTACTACAAATAAATGAGTTGCACAACATTAGTTTCTTTATGAATATATTCAGAAATTATTTTTTTCAATGTATTTTTCCATTGTTTCTATTAGTGGTTGGATACGATTGTTCCGCTTTGGAGAAGCATTTATTTAACTGAGATTACTTAGTAGATGATTGTTTTTTTTTTCATCTAAATTGTAAATTTTTGAACACAAAATGCTACTAATTGTAATACAATTAATTACAAAATTTGGTTAATTTAGATAGTATAAACATGTTATTTCCTAACTCAACGGAATATTCATTTAAAAATAAAATAACTTTACTATAAATTTATATTAAGCTTCCCATTTTATGGTATCTATATCTAATTTTTAATCTATTAATTCAGTATTAAAATTGATATTCCATTCGTTGTAATGGGATGAAAGATATTAAATTAAATGGGTCTGAGTAAACGATAAGTTGTCGAAACTTTACTTAATTGTTTATTAATTATATTTAGAATAATTTGTTATCAGCTTTTATATGTATATTTAAAATTTTTTTAATATACACTTAAAATGATATATTTAAATTTGTCTCAATTATAATTACAAACAAAAAATTAAAAGTTAAATTTAATTTAAAATTTTCTAACTTTTTAATTTACTTCATGTAATTGAAATTAATTTAAGCTTAATTAAAAATATTTTTTTTAATTTTTTTTAGATTGATATTGCAAATTAAAACTTTCATGTCAACTACTTCTTTCTGGGTCAAATTTTCCAACACTATAAAAAGGTAAATTAATTTAATTCACTTATAAATCAGTATTTTATTACTTAAAAATCTTTTTATTCAATTATAAAGAATTAAATTTCAAATAAAATAGTACATTTGAAATTAACTAATCAATTTAATTTAATTGCACATTTAAAATGATGAGTTGAGTAGACCGTTCAGTTTACTAGTAAATAGTTTTGTTTAGTATTAGTTACTAAAATAATAAGAATGTATAACAAATTAGGTTATAAATGTTAAATCATTGATTAAATTAAATTATTATTTGTGTTTAATAGTAGTTAGATTAAGTGGTGATTATTTAATTATTAGTGCAAAAGAATTAAATTTGGAAATAAAAATTACAATCAAAAGTTCTATATTAGAATAATATTGCTAATATTACTATTTTATTGCTACCTTTCTCAAAAATTTTATAACCTCCATTTTTTTTTATTAGGATTTTCTGCATTTTTTTGAACAAAGACAATACTTGATATATTATATATTGTGGGAGCTTGGGGCAGTACGCCGTTCATCAAGTTGCCCCCTGAAGTGAAAGATTAGTTGAAGTACACCAACAACGTTGGATCCTTTTTCGTCCTTCGATTCTTGGATGTTGTTATTGAGGTAAAGTCAAAATAACTTCCCCTCACATATCTACATCCCTTCTTAGTGCAAGCAACTCATTCAGCTTGAGGTTGGTTGCCAAGTCATCATCAACCCAATGGTGTCCCAAGACAGTCATCCTTCTGCTTGCCAGTGCAGGGTATTGGCATAATATATGCACAGCTGTCTGCTTTTCTACTAAACATAGTCTGCATGACTTTTTCTTCACAAGAGCTTTTTGATGTGATGTATGAAATTTCCATGTTCAGCAATCAATGAAGTCAGCCAACTTAGGATGCTCCGCGCTTAGCTAAGCATTTTTATCGTTTTATTGACCAACGGCTTCAGCATCATGAGTTTAATCTGTCTACAAGTGTTCATTTCACTCCACCCGTTAAGATGAAGTGCAGTTATCCACTTATCGACATAGGCTGCAGTCATGTTGAACCCTAATGGTATTCTGGGCTCTGGGCGGCAGAAGTTATGGTTCATCTGCAAGTTCATCTGTTTTTCGTTTTGCTCAATACCGATATGTCGTTTAACCATAATGACTGTCACCTCATTTTTATGAGCATATTCCATGAGCTTCATGCCACATTCTTATACTAAGCTGTTAAATACGCACGTTTTTTGATGCTTTTGATTAGTACTTGATTGTCCAGTCTTATGTGAATCTTCTTCTGATACACCTGACAAACTAAAAGAAGATCCAGAGTACGTGTGACTGCCATAAGTTCCACCTTGTAGACGATAACAGATGTCGTGTTCTATAGGACACTTCTATCCCATTAACACTCTTCACAGTTTCCAGTGGCATCTGGGTTTTTTTTTGACAAGGTCAAAAATTTTCCGATCTCCCACAATTTTTTTAAAATTGTTCCGTGTGGAGTTCCGGTTCATGCGAATTGCTAATACCGGCGTTTTCTTTATATATAAGTCCAGCGCAAGCATATGTAGCATGGCCTCTAAAGCCGGTGTTGGCGTGGTGCGCAGGGCATCCGTAATTTCAACACAGGCTAGTGACTGGATCTTATCTACTTCGCATCTACATCTACTATAGGTCAGATCTGGAAGTACGATGGTGGAGAAAAAATTCGGAACGTAATTGAATTAACTTATTTATCTTTTTTATTGAGTTGTAGTTTGTTGTTTTTAGTTCAGTGAGAGAACGAGGTACCCACTCTAAAAACATATTTACGTATGCTCAAATTTATAAAGATATCAAATGTTTTTTTGATATCTTTATGGTGTCAGTAATTTTTTTTGGAACAAAATCCCTTTCATCAATGGAATTTTAGAAAGGCTACCTAACTTCTTGCGATCCAAATTCTTAGTAATCATAATTAGTCATATTTTATTCATTGATGTTTATAACTTGCTTCTTATTAAAATTTAATTCTTTGGTTTTAATGACTTTATATCTTATTTCAAGAGAGTTACAAATAAAGTTATTGGTGCTTTTGTTGATAGTATCTTAATAAAAATTCGTTTCAGACATAAAACTTTATGATAATGCTTTATTTAACTGCTAATTATTAATATGTAATTACAGTTTTCTTAAGTGTCCTTATCAACTTTCATATACTCTGTGTTTTTTCTTGATATATGGTCTCTGGTGTAAACTTCCAATAGAGTCTATTTCTGCATTATTAGCATAAATTTTTTTTGTATGTAATATCATCGATGGTTAATTTTTTGTAATTGACTTCTTTTTTTACTAGCAAAATTTTTTTCTATTATGACTTTTGGCATTGCATTGACTTATAACTCCTTTTTTATCTGAAAAATGTGTTTCAATGAAAGGTTTATTAATCAAGGTGTTGCCAATCAGAAATGAAATTATTGTAAAATTTTTGTTAGTAACTAATTACATTGTATAATTATTTTTCTCAGTCTGGTTGTATTATTTAATATATATATATATATATATATACTTGTATTCATCTATATATAAATTAGTTACATTTAGTACTAATCTAGTACTGCTTAAATTATAAAATTCATTTAAAAATGAGTAATAAAAAAATATATTTAAAAGATTTTTATTTTAATTATCTACTAAATCAATCAAATATCACAAAACTGTTATTTTCCACTTTATTCGTATAAGCGTAAGACCAATCTTTTAACGTGGCCTCAGTTGATTTCTTTCAACTGCGAATACCCAAGATACTTTGCCTGAATTCCAAACCAATCTGTGTGCATTTGAGCTGCAAATATTTCAGTGTAGGCATTAGTACATGGCTATATCTCGATAAGTGCATTTAGATAATATTTTATATGCAGGTCCGATGTGGTTATGTGGATAATTTTACAGTTGTTGGATTAAGAAATTCTGCATTTATAAAAATAAAACTTCCATATAAATGCAGAAGTATGCAGATAAAGTGCATGTTCGTTTAAGACACAAATTTTTGCTAAGCCAAAAATTTTAACTGGTTTTTCTTGTTGACTAGAAATATTATTAAAAGTTATTTGGAATGTTAACCTGAAAAGATTTTACAATCAAATATCTTAAGATACAGACATACATATTTATAAGTATGTTCTTGGTTAAAAAACTTACAGAATAATTTGTAAATGACAGAAGCCATTAGTGTGCAAATGTATTACCTTGACGGACTTTCAGTTTCAAAAGACTATATAAAAGCTAAACAAAAATATATTCTAAATATATAACGGGATCGGTAATCTTATAGTATAGCTCAAATTTTTATAATTCAATGATTGAAATTATGTGGTAATATTGTATAAAAATATACTACCACATGCATTACTGATCATGTAATATGCCACATCTCTGCTCTTTTTTCAAATTAACCAATTATCTTTGATAAAAGGAATGTCGATGGTTTTCTGAAATAAATCTAGAGTTTTTCTTATTTTTTGATAGTCATTATACTTTTCTGTATTTTAATTTATATACTATATGTAGATGAGTATAAATGAATTTTATTTATAAAAATACTCAGCTATTTGATATTTTTATACCGGTTTTAAAACTAATTCAAATACAAATATAGCATATAAATTTTTTCAATTTATCTTATTACACATCTATATAACTATGTATATGTGTATATTATATTAGTCATTACCATCAATTAATCGAGGAGGCGACAACTAAATTTGGAAAAGTTATAGCAGCATTGAGTAGACTTATAGTAAACATAAGTGGCCATGAAGGTTTAGGAGCGAGAATCATATTGGCAAATAAAGTACATGGGAAGCAACAATATCAACAGGCAGTTCAATAGGCGCCAGACCATGGAAGTATGGCAGCAATGTTGGTAACCGTGGACAATAAACGGGAAGTTTCATCCCAGACCTGAAAAGTTCATTAGCAAAGGAGTTTGAAGAGATCAAGTACTACCTTACTTAATTCCTGTCCCACCATTAATATTTGAAAAATATGTTTGTGTAAAATGTAGTCACCAAAGTGTATGTATTGTGGAACTGTTCTTTGAGTGCAATAAGTGGCTACTCCAACATAAAGTGCTAGCAACGCAAATTCGTATTTTTCCCCAAGGACGGTACCACAAAAATTATGAAAAACAAAGTGAACTATGATCATATAGTAATATTTGCTGAAAAGATCGTAAGGTTGAAAAAAGTAGATTTGGGCGGAACACACCTATAACAAGCAGTTATGTAACGTCAAGACAAAGTATAAGTATAAACACTTGAAGCAATAGCAGGGCCTGGACGCAGACCACGCTGATGGAAGTCCTAAATGACTAATAGGAACCGAAGTAATAATCCGAAGTAATATTTACGTACTCCTGAAGTAGGACTACGATTGGAGGAAAAGTTTAGTTAGTGGGATTTGGGTACTCATTTTCTGGAGTGTTGGAATGTGGACAGTGTATACACATTTCCCTCCTCTACGCCGGATAAAAGGAATAAAAAGTTTCATTACTATCAATCATTGGTATCAAAACGCGGGTCGTGTATTAACTGCCATATGAATTATATTTATTTTTATCAACTTCTGTTTTTTGTTTATCTTTTGTCATATATTAAAGGACACCAATTGCATATTCGAAATTATTGTGACGACATTTGCGTTTTCCTTTTAGTTCTCTAGATTTGAGTACTAGATTTAAATCAAGGTAATAGGTACATAAAATATATGCCAAAATTAGTTGAGAATAAATTTGTTATTAAGTGATTAAATTGTATTAATTAAGAAATTGAGCAATATGTATTTTAATATATTTTTAATTTAATTTCAACAATTAAAAAATAAAATTAATTTAAATTTAAATAAGAAACAAAGGTAATAATCAATTAATAAAGCTTAACTCAAAGCTTATACTTATAATAATTATATATTCTCTTCTGTATTTAAGAAGTAATTTAATTACAGAAATAGTGAATGCTTTAAAAGTAATTACATTTAATGGCATTAC